AGTTGCTGTCCATTTGAAACTTAGATTCATTATGAATACTCTGCCTAAACAACCTATCAAAGATTAATTAGAGTACATTACTGTTTCTTTTTGTATTTTTGTAACTGAACAGTTCACTTTGGAATATTTGATCTCTGTTTTATTCTCAACATTCGATGCTTTTGAAAAAACTACATTAAAAATATTACATCAAGCTATATGATGTGTTACATTCTGATCTTGATTACAAGTGGGTTTGGAAGGTATTATATATTATACATGAGGTTAGTGCAACAGGTATGTTTATGGCCCCCAGTGTCGTCTCTTGCCAGTCTTTTGTGGGACTTCAATATTATAGAATGCTTTAGGAAAAACACTGTACCATCAAAGCAGGTGCATTGGTTCCCGACTTACACATCGATCCATATATGAAGTTTTGGTCTTTAGACTTCCTGTTAAGACAGTCACTGATAATATCAACTTTACATCTAACAAATGTTGCTGTCAATCTTTACTATTAGTCTGTCATACTTTTAACAAGATATTTTCGACTTTTTCAAAGTTCCAATTACAGGCTTATAATATTTTTAAGTTATGTTTAAGTGACTGGAAAAACAGAGATTGTTAATATTATAAATGAATGTGTTCTTTATAATTAAAATCTGTTTGGAACACTTATATAGTTTATGGTGCATTCCTGATTAATGTTGTAAACAAAGTTCATATACCCTGCTTTACTATTCATCACTAAACAGTATTTTTGCATTATTGAAGTTTAGTTATGTAATTAGTCACTTGTACTGAAAAATACTTTAGGGAAAATCTGTATAGAAATAAGGTGAAGTTAATCTTGAGAACAAGAACCTTCTGAATCTAATTATATGGTGGAAATGTAAAGGAAGTGTAATGTCATTTTCTTCAGCTTTAGGTAAATTTTTATGTTTCTACCAAATATTATGACATAATTCTTCAACTAATAAAGAACAGAATCGTATGGTAGTAAATATAAGACACACTGAAAATTGCAGAAGATGAATTTATACATTGATGAAAATACTAGAAGCTTATATTTGCATTCATGTTATAGTCATAGCCATTATTTACTTGTACAATTGTACATGTCATAAAATGTGGTAAGTGGTTTCTTCATTATATCTTTTTTTTTATTGTAGTATGGCTAAACCGAGAAGAACATTGAAACACAATGACAACATAAACATATATACAGACAACAACTTAGCTGTGTATTAATTGATGCTATTATTTTAGGTGAACTAAGAACCATGGTTTTTATAACACCAGCAATATTTGTTGTTTTATAATTACTTCATTTTTTATCATTGGTCACTAGATATATTTTTTTGCTACCTATATTTAATATGATGAAAGAATGAGAAACTTTTAAAAAAAACTTGTACTTTTTTTTTATTTCAGTTGGACAAATATGAAGTTTCCTGAAACACATTTTCAGTTATTGATTTGGTTCAGTTGTATTTACTAACAAAACATGTCAGTGCCATCTAGGAAATTATAAAGCAAACAAATTAATAATTAAGGTAAAAAGATTATCATGTAATATCTGCCATCTAGGGACAATTTGTAAAATTACATTCACAATGTTAACAGTTCATAATATGACAGGTATTACTACTCCAATAATTTCCATTAAAATTTATTAGGATTATTGATAGTTATCTGTCTATAATGAGAGAACATTATCAGATCTATGATTATTATATAACATTTTTATATAAACATCAGTTAATTTGCCAATAAAATATTGTATTCCCAAACTTATGATTGTCAAAACAAGATATTTTGCAAAACGAAATATAAAACAACTTGGTAATATATAGGTTCTATAATATTAAAATCATAGACTTATTCATAGAGAAGCTGTATGTCAAATATTATGACAGTAGATGAAGTGGTTTGGAAGTAAAATCGTGAATTTTACAAACTTCAGGAGGCCCTTGGGACATTTAACTTCTAATTATGTGCATAAAAGAATTATCTTACCTTAAAGAATTTAATGCTTTATCAAAATATATATGTTATATTACATGTGATACTAAATATCATTTATAAAACCACTTTAGTTAGAGTCGACTTTCATATGATGCAGAGTCATATCCTTAAAGCCAGGGAAGACTTTACTGATCTCAAAACAAAGTAAAATTATTCCATAATCTCATTGTCATATTGTAATTATCATCTTCACAGTGGCCCCTCAGTGGCACAGCGGTATGTCTGTGGATTTACAATGCTAGAAACTGGGTTTTGATACCATTGGTGAGCATAGCTTTGTGCTTAATTACAAACAAACAAGCAATCTTCATAGTGTTATTAGTGCAGTGGGTGTTTCATTATTTCCAATAGTATCACTGTGATAGACAATTGCCTCCCCAAACACATCTTCTTCAGTGAACTACAGACCGGAATATGCTCCCGTGCTAGTAAAAAGGTTGCTCTAAAGGACTGCAATGCCAATCCTAATACCAGGGAAACTTTTGCCCAAAACTGTCCAGCCTGGAGGAGTGCTGTCATAAAGGGAGCACCCACATATGAACAACATCATATCCTGACACCCCAGAACAAGCGTGTAGCACGTAAAGCAATAGGAAGCAACCACCAGAACCCACCAGCTCACCTGCTGTCTTGCCCGCATTGCACCATACATTTTCAAGCCAGGATCGGGCTAATCGTTCTCCTCTGAACACACAAAATCAATGGATAATGATGAAGATGGTTCTCTTCAATCATGAAGGACGAACCATAATAATACTGTGATACACATTTCCTCTATTTGCTGTTGCATTCTAGTCCACACATGGTTATTTTCCACTGTATTCGTGTTTTCGTTTAATTGTGGCTTTTCCTACTTGTTCACTCTAACTGAATATTTCCACTGTTACCATTTTCTAAGTTTCTTACACTTTTATTATCATATGATCCTGATACTGTGCTATTCCTAAATCAGTTCACTTTCCTTACTTCTTCTTCTTTCCTTTTTTTTGAACCACCTCCTTTTTAAAATAAATTTGCACCAGCTGGTACTATTCTTCTTTCTTTCTATTTAGTTTTCTTAAGTACAGAAAACTATTCATTATATTAATCTGCTTTGAACTTGGCAATGTCCCCTTTTTTCTTCTTGTGTACATTCACTTCATATTGAAGTTGCCAATGCTCAATCTCTGCTTTCCTGCCATCCTTCTAACGTCTTCCAAAAATTTTTTCATAATTCTCAAATAAGTAATTGCACTTTGTTTCCACACTGACAGCAATGAACTATTTAGTTCCATCTGAGAATGAAAAGGTGCAAGGATAAAATGCAGAGCTTTTAAATTTCTGTTTTGATCTTGCGTGAATTTCATAAAGTATTTTTCTCTGTTTCAAACTTTGACAACTTCAACTTTAAATATAGCTAATACACTTTCTGTAAACCTTACAACTCTTGTTATTAAACCATAAGGATTGTTATAGATGCAAATCACCTAATGTTTGCAAGATTATTGCTCTCTGTAAAATATGATCTGAATGCAATCTGTTCTGCTTGTTTTTTTGTATCATTCAATTCATGTCCTTAGTTTTGCAGGAGACTGTCTGTTGTTTGTAAACAGTTCATTTGAAATTGAGAAATGAAATGTTACAGAAGCAATTTCAGAAATGTTGGATGCAAAAACTTCCTCAAGTTTAAATACAAATTCCAAATCAGAGTTTCCATATAAAAACTTCCTTTAATAAAAAGGTGAAAAGCTTTGTGCTTTGTACTGATGTTCTGATATTAATCTTGAAATATCTTGTTAAAATAGCTAAAGTGTGAACAGTATCAAGAGTAACTTTGATATAAATGTTGGAAATAAACATAGCTAAAAGAAAAAATATTTTACACAGGCTCGTAAAAACCATGCTGGAGGAACAGAACCATATGGAAAACAGTGGCAGGTTGGTGATGTTGTTGGGTGTCTGCTGGATCTTCATGATCGAACTATCAGTAAGTTTTTCGTCATGCAATAACATTCAAAATACTTATGTAAAAATATAGTTTGTTTGGGGAGTTATTAGATTACTCGTAATACTATAGAAACAGGATATGTACTAAGTTAATTGTAATAGTAAAATCAATGATCAATAGAATTTGGATACAATGAACATAAACTCTACACAGTTTGTTAGAAAAAATTAGTCTTAACGATAAGTATTTCAAAGAAAAGTATTGAATCATTGTTTTAGGAAGTAAGGTAAACAATTAATTTGTGGGTAAGGAATATATTTAAATCTGTATAATATGAGTTTTATATCACATTTGTCTGTTTGTGTATAATGATTAAACTTAAAGATGAAAATGTTAACTTGTAGGTTTTACTTTGAATGGTGAGCTACAGCTTGATGCAATGGGTGGAGAGACTGCATTTGCTGACATACCTGTTGGTGAAGGTATGACATTTTTCGCTAGTAGATAAAGTGCTGTTGTTCATATCCTTGTAGTAAAGCATAGCACCAAATTAAATATGATTTGTTTTGTTTCTTAAAAACAAAGTAAAAGCATCTTAAAAACTCTACACAAGGTCCCTACAGTTCTAGCTTTGAACTATTATTTTCTCTAGTTGTGATTTTTTAATTCTAACAGATATGATTAACAACATTATATTAATTCTTTAAACATAATTCATTTTGTTTTGTCTGTTTTTTAGGCTAGAGACCTTAAGGTATAAAAACCATTGACTATCTGATACTTTAATACAAGTTATGACCAAGAGCAGAACATTAAGATAAGTCTTCCCAAAATAACATTTTTTTGTCCCATTATCATTACTCTACTGGTTTTATTTTTAATGCTTTGTTTCTTCTTTTTGGAGAATATATATATATAGATACGTACCTTCCAATTTTTTTTCTATGTTATTTTGAAGGTTACCTTCCAGCCTGTACATTAGGAAGTGGACAAAAAGCTAAACTAGTGTTTGGTCATGATGTTAATACCTTGAAGTACTTCACTACTTGTGGCCTGCAAGAAGGCTACCAGCCTTTCTGTGTGTAAGTATTTAATGTTAATACCTTAAAATACTTCTCTACTTATGGCCTGCAAAAATGCTACCAGCCTTTCTGTGTGTAAGTACTGTTATAATACCTAATGCTGGGAAAGTGTTATCTTTAGATCATTAGTTTGTATGATAGTACATCACAATAACACTGATTATAATTTAGATCATAAGATATTACAGGCCCAATATACGGATTTCTAGTAATAACAGTGTATAACGGTTTATCAACTAAAAGGCTATCTATAGATCAATAGTTTGTGTGACATTAAATCACAATAAGACTGATGATTTTTTTTTAAATCTTTCTCTACTGCTCCTATACAAGTTTTCAGTAAGCAGAGCAGAATGACAACTTGAATGTATACATTGTGTGCTGCAAACCACTGCTGAGGAGATTTTTTTTCAGTACTATATCTCATCAGCCTGTTGGCCATGCAGTACACAAAGCCCCTGTAAAAAATTCTATTTATATCTGTCATTTATAAGATGTCAGTTATAATGGTTATAAAACCTCAAGCTGAAAAAGCATGATCTGTAGTCTGATTGTGTGAGTGACAATAAGAATGATTATAATTTAATTTATTAGGCAGTGGCATGTGATCAAGATGGTGTTATGAACTGTTTACTGGAAATGTCTATAAGTCCAGTAAAGAAAGTATTGTGATGTAATGTCACACGACATATTATAAACTAGAAAATAATAGACATTTTAGGTTTTCGATAAGTCTGACTGATCACTTGAAAATTCTTTTTGTTTTCAATCTTTTGCTGAAGATGCTTCGTCAAGAGATTAACTCATTTAAAACCTTTCTACTGTTCACTGTGTTGTTTTCTCTTTAGTCTATTGTAGGCTTATGTAGCTGGTTTCTTGATAAAACTGACACAGCTGACTGTTGGGAAAAAAACACATTTTATATGATAATTAGTCATATTTATTAACAATAACAGATAAAGAAGCCTCCCATAACTTTTATTACACAATTAAGTACAAATTACGATGGCTGGGTTCGTTAAATCAGATATTACCTTAGAAACTAATATACTGGCTAGCAATGGCCTTTAACATTCAAAAGGTTTTGCATAGTTACCTTCGCTCCCCGGAGGGGGGGGAAGGGTATTGCAATTGGGTCTGTGTTTCCATGCATGAATTTCGAAAACTAATAGACTGATGCACACGAAAATTTTACACAAGAAGGGAAGTTATTATGGGACAGTCCTCCCCAAATTTATTTGGATTCAGATGCTGGATCACTTTGAAGCATTTTTAAATAATGGGGAGATAGGGCATTTTCGTGGTTTTGGGTTAATAACTCTGTAAAGCGTGATTGGATTTGTACCAAATTTCATGGGCACATTAAGGTTGAGACTCATCATCACAAAAGGACAAATGATCTGGATCGTTCCATTTTGACATTTAGGTTAACTAACTCAGTTGTATATTTGAAACCCAATTTAATCAGTGCAGTTGAAAAGTGAAATAATAAGTTGAAATTAACCTCTCAATTAATCTTATTAAAAACAAGAGCAATCAGAGAGACTGCATGCGTATATATTGGATAAAGTCAAATTTCACCTTCAACGACTCAGAAAATCCTTCTCAGATCGAGAATGATTGTTATAATGCTTTAGTTGTATTAAGCATCATTTGCAGATCTATTTCTGCAGTTTAAATGCTCTGAATGCTAAAAGGATGCATTACAATCATGGTCTTGGAAAGCACATAGCATCACCAAAGTATGTAAATTACAGTTAAAGAAATTTAATAACACAAGTACTTTCAAAAATTTAGCCTTTGTCTAAGGGTAAAATGGGAGCCTATTATAATATATACATTCTGCTAAAATCAAGCCAAACAACATGTTATATTACTTGAAAAATTATATAATTGAAAAAAATTCTTTGGAGAACAAACATGATAGTAGAAGCTTAGAATTGCTTATCTTTTGTGTCTCATAATTTTTTACTATCCATTTTGGAATTGTTAGGAACATGAATCGACAAATGGCATTTTGGTACAGCAAAGATGAACCACTTTTTGTTAACGTAGATGAAGCTGCAACATCTCATGTGGAGATAACAAGGATACCACCAGGGTGCGTTAAAAACAATTAATTTCAATAAAATATATTTATATATTCTTATTTTAAAAGGTAATTCTGTATATGCCTTTTTATTACATTGTAGTTTAATCTTAAATCCTTACTAATTGGAAAATTTTTTTTAAAAAGTTTGAAAATTATTTTACTCTTTTATAACTTTGAATTTTTCATATATGCATTTATGTAAGGAATGACGTACAAATATTTTTAAAGATATTTTCCTTTAATTAGTATTATAAGCAACTTCCTCTGAAGCTTATTGGTATGATGCTTTCTTTTCGATTATTTTGTGTATATCTTTGCTTGAAGTATGTTTATGGTCTTCTTTTTTTTCCCATTACTTATTGAATGATATATTTGTTTGAAATAAATTAATTCCTTGTAAGATTTTGTTCCATTTATCATTTATATTTGTAAACGTGCTTGCCTACAGGAGTGACTCTCCCCCAGCCCTGAAGATCTCTCACAAAATGTTTGAGACAGTAGAAAAAGCAAACTGGGAATTTCTACGACTAAGCCTGCCTGTTACTTGTCATGATGAGTTTATTAAGTGAGTAGAAGCATCAATTAGAGCTACTCTTAACTTCAGATTCTCTTTATATGTTGGTAAAAGTACTGAGTAACAATACGGTCTTAAAATATGGTTGTTTAAATTTGTCCAATATACTATTTGTTACAGTTTTTCACTGCATATGATAGATGGTGTTTTGGGCAGCACAATTGAAAACGTTTTTAAGTCCAAACAGTCTATGTTTACAGTGATATGTCAAAATGTACAACCAGTTGAAAATTCCCACAGTCATTGCAGTTACAGTTTTGTACCACCAGTTGAAATTTCCCACAGTCATTGCTGTTACAGTTACACAGTAACTAGAGGTCACTTTCGTTGGAGATAGGGAAGAAACCTAGTGATTTGGGGGTTAAAAGGTAAACATTTACCATTTCAGAAAATAGAAATCTGGTCTCTATACAGCTCAAGGTCTGAACAGAAGATTTTAATTATCGTATTTTCCCAGGTCACTTCAATCCCTCAGGACTGGGGAAGAACCCTATTGATTTTAGAAATTAGGTATCTATGCAGAAGAACACATAACCACAATATAAACAAACACACCATATTTATCAACACAACAAATCAAACAAAAAGTTAATGGTCAGGGGGGTAGGGATTGGCACACCATATTTATCAGCACACTAAACCAAACAAAAAGTTGATGGCCAAGAGGGATGAGTACACACGCACACAATCACACCATATTTATCAACACACCAAATTAAACAAAAAGTTAATGATCGGGAAGATGGGGATGAGCACACATACAACCACACCATATTTATCAATGCATCAAACCAAACAAGTTTTCCTGTGAAGTAGAATATCTAGCAAAAATAATAAATATGAATTTTTTCAGTAACCGGACATTGTTTACAATAAGTTAACTAAGGTTCTTGCATTTACAAAGAATAAAGGTTTATTTTGGAAATTGTTTTCCTGATCTAATTTTACAATTATTTCTAGTGAGACAGAAAAAATTCATAGATTAGAAGAAATGAGGCGTAGACAGAGACGAGCATTAGCAGAAAAGTCTGGCATTCGTCATCCAGGTATGATAGCATTGATCTTTTCTAATTATTCAGAAAATAACTGAATATGTCACGTTTCTATTTTATGTATTTATTTATCAATTTCAAGATTGTTTTTTTTTTCTTAACAGTATGCAGCAAAATGACTAAGAGATAAACAAACTTATGTTACTGTCATGATTCTGTACATTATGTTCATATTAAATAAATAGCTTTATTTTTATAACTCTTTTGTTTATAAAAATGCAAGAACCCCTGTATAGGTTTATGTGTCTATTTCTTTTTTAGATTTTTATTTGTTGTATGAAAGCTTAAATGCAATCCTTTGTACACGTTTTTTTTTATATTTGTTAATGTAGAAGAACCTGCTTGTTTAATTAAGTTTTTTTTGTTATAAGTTTTGAAATTTTTTCTCTGACGTGAAATATCTATTGAACTTGCAGCCAATCTAGAGCAACATATGCTGAAGAGTGGTTTCAGTTTATCTGACATCAAAGGTAAAATAATGTGGAATTGATGTATGATTCATATCTAACCTATAATTTTTTATGTTCAAGTCAGCTAATCTTTCTCCATGCAGACCCTTCAATTATTTCATATTTAGGAGATTAATAAATTAAATTAATAACCTTAATAATAATGTCCAGTTCACTTCAATGAATAAATGAATAAAATGTCTCCAAAGTTGTGTGTAGATGTTCAGACTATTATGCAAGAGTTACATTATTCTTATAGGAAGTTTCTCCTCGTCTATAGTAATAGGTATGTGAATATTTTGAAATAATTCATCTTTTTTTTGTTGCTATAAGCTTTTTTCTTTTGAAGTACAAAAAAACAACAACAAATACAATATTTTCTTCACTATTTGAATGCCAATTTTTCTAAAGTAGGATACAAATTATATTTGTCTATTTTAAACATAATTATGGATTAACAAAATTTTTATAGATCAAATTAATAGAGCTCTATTTATTGGACCTGTCATGGCATTTCTTAAAATGTTGTTACAAACTTCAGTCCTTTACTTAGTTATAGGAGACTTCAAATCATCTTAACATGATTGTAGATGTCTACCATGATATCTTATTAGTCAATAATTAAAACTATCACTGATTAAAAATATCTGTTTTTTTATCAGAATGATTTTTCTTTTTTAGACTTGCAACGAGGTTATTCTGAAGATGTTGTTCAAACCATGAGTGCCCTTAACCTGGAGCAAGGAAAGCGGTTAGTCCAGCCACCACAACCTACCCTTGCACAGCAGAGATCAGGCTCTAATAGCATGTTGCATAAAACTCAATCTTTTGACCTAGCAATGTCTAACCTATCTGTACCAGGTGAAAGGGCCCCAGATCCTTCAAAATTGAGAGCTGCATCTAGTGAAGAAGCTCTGCACAAGAAAGGCATAGACAAGAGTTTAAAGAAAAGCTCTACACCTGAGCCTTCTTCAAGCTTCAGGGATGATAAGCAGAAAAAGAGAGGCCGTTCGCCCTTTCGGTTCTTTTCAAAGAAAAAGGAAGGTTTAGAGAGAAGAGAAAAAAGTGCTACAACACGTACTGGAGGATTAGATCAGAACAAGCAGTATGGTTATGACTTGCCTCCAGAAAGAGATAAACCACTTTCTGCCCCTATGGGTGCCACTCTGAGTGTCCGAGCCCCTGCATTACAAGTAATCTCTGCTAGCAGTTCTTCCAATATTGGAGTACCATCTGTACCTGATCGGCCAACTAGTCTCACAAGTGGAGGCAATGTACCGGGAGGAACAGGATCCCCCGAAAGACCTATGAGTAGCAATAGAAAACATTCTCGTGCCGTCATTCAAGAGCCAGAAGACTCTACTGACCATGAAGTGGCAAATGTGGGGCTTGAACTCCTTGATGAATACTTCTATGGTGTGAGAATATTCCCAGGGCAAGATCCTAACCATGTTTATTGTGGCTGGTCAACAACAACCTACCATTATTTTGACAAAAGTTTTGATAATAGTAAAGTTCGCAAAGTGATGTTTCAGTATTTGGAAGAAGGATCTCATCTGGAAGTGTAAGATATTATCTGTTACATTTTTGGTGTAATAATTGTAAAATACTAAAAATAAAAAGTACATTTTGGTCGAGTAATAAATAATAAAGCTTAGAAATAACACAGTAACAGATTGAAGTATTTTTGTTGAACCTAAAAATTTGTTTCATATTTTCCATTGAGATAGTTTTTGTGTATTCAATACTGTATTCACGTGAGTGTACCAGCAAATCCCTGGTAATTTAATGATATGGCCAAAATGTTTTCAGACTTCAAGTCATTGTGATATGTAAATCAATCTTGGTTCTATTTTACCCTGTTCAGTGCAACATCTAAACTAATTTAGCTTTCTGAGTGGCTGCTTCAATTCAGATATTTTGCTACACTGTTGTTTCATAGTCATGTGACAAATATGTGATTTTGCTGGTGAAGTGTACAAGCAAAAAAGTTTTGAATGTTTATACATTGAAGTGGGTTCAGTGGTTTTGTTATTTTTAGGACTGCATAACTGGGAAATAATATTTTAACTATATTTTGGATTTGGCTAAACAACCTTTTATATTTTCTAAAAAAATAAAAGTATCAGTCATAATCTAGTGTATGCTATGTTATAACAGCTTTCAAATATATTGCTGCATAGTCTTCTCTTGACCAGGTAATGCTTCAGTCTGTATTCCTATTACAATACAGTTTACACTGCAGTGTGACATATATATATACACCTGGAAAAAAGTTAAGCACCCCCAAATATTTTTCAAGTGATTCAG